ATACTACAGGGACTAAATTGATTTTTTGTAATGAGAAAAATATTTTATCGTTTCGTCACCATTATGACGTCATAAAGCGGACTCATCCGAACCCAATTCAACGCTCATAAAAGTATTCCGTTTAGAAAGTTGGATTTTAAATTTGTTTTAAAAATAATAATTAAAAAATTATATTAATTTTAAAGAACAAATACTCAGATATATCTAACATAAATATAACTTGAAATTAATCCATGATACATAAATAATTAAATAATTAAATAATTATTTTCAATTTTTTTAATACCCTAAGCTATATTTAAAAGCATTATTTTAAAAAATTACTTTTATAAAAATATGTTTAATCCATTTGTTTATTGTAAGGTTCCAAAACTATAATCTATTTTGAAAAAATAAATCAAAATATACTTAATCATACTAAAATAATTACCTCAAAATATTCCTAATTCCTTACACTACATTAACATCCATTATTTTATTTTATAGCGCATCAAAATCTATTATTTTACTCGATAATGAATCTAATACTTTAGAAAAAAAACCTGAATAAATATAAATTAATTGAAAAAGAAGTACATTTCAAAATGTGTTCAGAATTCCTCACAAAGTATTACTCTAAATTGATAGTGTCTCGACGTTTTTCGTGATTGGTGAGACATAGCTTCAAATTTAGATTGTGCCTTAGGAATTATGGAAAAGCCCGAGTAGATTATTTTTTAGCAAATAACTCAAAAATCGAAACAAATTCATAGCTTCGAATTGCAATTACACAAAATTCTATCTCTGATTTTTTATTTTTTTTTTTAATTCTCGCCCTCTTCTGATATGAACCAAAAAAATATCAATCATACAATATACTTCAATGACGGTGTGAAAAAAAAGTTGTCAAAATTATCAAAATGCATGCCACATTGAAGAAGAGTGAAGTTTGATTGTTATAAATTTTGGGTGGGTTACAATTTAGAGTTTTTAGGACTTTTTATTTACTTTAGGTTACAATTACATAATTGTTAATTATGACCATTAAGTATGACTGTTACAATTCTTGGAATGCCTAGTAGTTTCATTTTGAGGCTATATAAAGCCATGTATGTTGTATGTGTAAGAGACTTGGAAAATGTAGTAAAAGAAGCATTTGTGCTCTTCTTTAGCCAATGACTAAGTTTCTTTGCAATTCTATGTAGTTTAGGTTGCATGTAGAATCATTCAAGCTCGATGTGATCAATCTTGCTTGTGGAGTGATTCGAATCTCAATCAAGCGTTCTTGTCTTGAGATATTTGATCAACAAGAATCATTCAAGCTAGACATGATCGATCTTGCTTGTGGAGTGATTCGAATCTCAAACAATGTTCTTGTCTTGAGATGTTCGATCAACAAGGTAATCCGAATCTTACTCCCCTTGTAGTGGTTCCTTATCTTATCATCTTCTCTTATCTCAAACTAGAGAATTTAACTGGAGTTTAGTACACTCAAGCTTCAAGTGTTCGGGATGATTCAATCATGACCATATAAACTCCATTTATAATGTTTGAAGCTCTTCACTTCTTTTAATCTCTCTGTGAGATGATTACTTCTTCTAAAATATTTCTTTAATTTTCAAAAGTTTTAATAATACCATTAAAACTAAAAAAAAAAAAAAA